CGTCGACGACCATTATATCCGCTACCAAACCGTATTATCACCAAACCAAGGACAAATCATTATGGAAGCTACCCGCTCTAAAGAAATCTACCTTAATTATTGATTCATCTAACCTGAATCGAATTACCAAAACCAGTTCAGACACTGAAATACATTCTTACCCCGGTGCCCAAATCCATCACATACAGTCAATCCTGGAATCATACGACCATGATCCCAAACCTACTACCATTATTCTTCATGTAGGCCTCAACAACCGTGATCAGCTACCAAAGACCTCCTTTAACCAAGCCCAGAAATTAATCGCCACAGCCAACAAAACCTTCCCAAACTCCAAGATCCTCTTCACATGTATACCCATTTCAAATAAAGTCTCGAAGAAAGCACAACAGAACCTCAGCACTCTCAACAACATGATGATGGAGTCCAGTATCAACAGCGCAACAATCTTACCACCCTACGAAGAAGAATTCGAACCAGTTGATAATCTTCATTGGACTCCAGAAACAGCAAACAGCATTTATTTGTTTTGGATACACCAGCTTCAAGCATCGAGTAAGTCTTTAAACTAATTACTGGGGATAAAAATACTGAGAGGCCACCGCTAGGCCAAACTGTAGTTAACTTGAGCCGCAAAGTTCTCACACCCCTTCAGCATTCAATTTTAGACCGTGGACTTAAATTTATTCCCACACCAAAGATAGCTAACTTGAATTATCTCCGACCATCCATTGAACGATTTCAACGAAATCTTAGCTGCACATATTTTTTTCGAAACCACCCCCCACGTGGTGCTAGAACAATGTTTATTCCTAAATCCACGTGGACACCCCCTCAGGCCGCCATCCATCCTGAAATATTGAAAGCATTTGCGAGTATGAATAGCCAAATAGTGAACCTTTCCATAACACACGAAAAGCCTAATCTGACACGAGTGGAACGTGAAGCGTTAAACTTACTTAAGAAAGACGATAGCATTATTATTAAAAAGAGTGACAAAGGTTCATGTTGTGTCATTCTGAATAGGGAGGATTACGTTTCAGAAGCAGAGAATCAACTGAATAATCCTAAACATTATGCCATTTTACCGAAACCAATTTTCAAAGAAACTGCTAACATGATTAACAATATTCTTGCCGATTTAGTCAAAACTAGTTATCTCAAACAGAAACAATATGACTATCTGCCTGCCAAACCTGATTGTCGCGAGAGACATATGTACACTTTGTCTAAAATCCATAAGAATCCAACCAAGGAGTTGTTTATCTCGAATAAAATCCCCAAAGGCCGCCCGATTATATCTGATTGTCATATGCAGTGTCAGAATACATTGATCATTTCTTACTACCTCTTGCATGTCAACATCGCGCCTACCTTAAAGACACAACCGATTTTGTCAATAAAATAAAAAATCTTCGAGTTCCCTCTAATGCTATTTTAATTTCTATCGACGTTTCTTCTATGTATACCAATATCGATAACACTACTGGTTTAACGGCAGTTCGTAAAGCTTTTAATAGAAACCCAGATCCAAACAGACCCGACGATGCAATTTTACAGCTTTTAGAGATTTGTCTTAGTCGAAACGATTTCACATTTAATGGTAAAACATATTTACAAACTTCAGGGACAGCAATGGGCAAACGATTCGCCCCTTCGTACGCAAACCTTTTCATGGCAGAGTGGGAACGTGAGGTGTTGCCCCTCTGTCCATTTGACCCACTTTTTTACGGACGCTTTTTGGATGACATTTTTATGGTTTGGACTTATTCGATCGAACAGTTTTGGGAATTCTTTGAAATTCTCAACAACCACCATCCTTCTATCAAACTAACCGCAAACGTGAGTGACAAAAGCATAGACTTTCTCGATACCACAGTCTTTAAGGGAGATTCCATAGCAGAAACAAATAAACTGGATATTAAAGTGTATTTCAAAGAAACTGATACTCATCAACTCACATACCTTTTCTGGTATAATTAAGTCACAAGTTTTACGATTTCATCGAATTTGTACAAGATCTTCTGATTTCAACCAAGCCTGTACGATTGTTTTCTCAAAACTGAAAGAGCGTGGGTACTCTAAACGATTTTTACGAAACATAAAAAATTCCACCTTAGCACAGATAGCAGCTAAAAACAGACTTTATGCCGAAGTACCTCCAGGTTTAAGAAGTGCTCCATGTTTGTCCTGTAGATGCAAAACATGTCCCTTTATATCAGAAACTCATTATTTTGTAAGCAACTCTACGAATAAAAGGTACCCGATCCAGGAACATCTAACATGTGAACATTCGAATGTAATATATTTAATTTCATGCAAGAAATGCCCCAAACAATATGTAGGAGAAACTAAGAATAATTTACGAACTCGCTTTAATGCTCATAGGTCAGACATCAAATTAAAGAAAGACAAGCCTGTTTCTAATCATTTCAACCTCGACGACCATTCAATAGAAGATCTCGCCCTAATCCCAATTGAGCATATAGAAATTGACTTGCCCGAAGATGAAACTACCAAATTCCGTCAATCTAGGGAAGCCCATTGGATTGAGACATTGAATACAGCAAGACCTATAGGACTAAATATTCATCATAATGTAGGCATAGCACCCTTTGTTGTCCCGTTTAATACAACCAGCAATCGAGCAAGCAAGATAGTTCATGCCCACTAAAAGAGCCTTCAAGAGAAATTCCCCCATGTCTATAAGCAGAAAATGATAGTTGCATATTCAAAAAATATGAACTTAAATGATAATATTGTTCATAGTAAACTAAAAACAATCAGTACATAACAGATACTATACTTCTCGCCCAATTGGGCGAGTTATTTTTTCTACTTTCAGATCAGAATAAGAACAATATCAAGACCCTTAATCCTAATTTCTAAATAAAGTGTCTGCTCCACCCTAGGCCTGTACATTTGGGAGAATCAAACCCCCCCTTCCCCGAAAACTAATCTCTAGGGTATTAACACGAGCATGAGTTCAAGTTTAGTGTTGGTGTTAGCAGCCATTTTATTTCATTTAAATGTTTTTTTTATACCGGTTGCTGAAGCTATTGCTGTACAAAATAGAGGCGACAATTTGGAAAGGCATCCTGCTTCAAGTGCGGAACCGATTGAACGTCATATCCGGGTGAATCAACATGAATTATCGGCTGAGTATCATGATTTTAGAGATGGAGACCCAGCAAGGAAACAAATGTGTGTTTCTCAAAAACGTTTTTGGTATATCTGGCTTCAGGTGGTTATTACAGAAATGTTGGTTTTTCCAGTGGCGTGGCTAAAACGACTACCTTGTTATACGCCCATGAGGTTGCCGATTTTTTGTTAAGCATTGCTCCAAGATTCATCAAACAACCACGCCCGGAGGAATACCCAAATTTAACAACAACTGTTAGAGATGTTGATGGTAATAACAAATATATCATACGCTATAATGACGGTGTAATCACTCGAATTCAACGCCCAGACCATGCAGGAGATGCATATTTTTGTGGACATGGAAAATCATGTGACTCTATTAATGTCCAGTATGTTTGTGATAAATTCGGAAGGATTCGGCATGTCATATCTGGACTACCTGGTTCAACCCACGATAAAATTGCAGCAGAATGGTCTCCTGAATTCATGCAGTATATCTGCACACACTACCGAACGACGTCGTTGTTTTAGGTGACCCTGCTTACCGTAATTTACACCCATCTGTGATGCACACATTTACTGGCGCGAATCTGACCCAACAACAACTGCAATTTAACGACACTTGCACACGACAGAGACAAATTGTAGAGAGAACTATAGGTGCCACAGAATTAAAATGGAGGATGACTCAGATGAAAGAAAACAGATTTGCTGCCAAAAAAAGGACCAGATTTAGCATCAAAATGTTACATCGCTGTATGTGTTCTTCACAATCGTTACACAAATTTTTTGTAATAAATATAATCAATGATATCCAATTCGGTGTGAAATTAATCATCAACGGCAACGATTAGTGTCCAAAATGTAGTCCTACACGTCAATGCTGTAAAATAAGTAGGACATTCCTCCTGGACTATGTTTGTCAACATATCAGTGCAGAATAGCTAATATATGCCCTAATATGTATTCAGTAATGCATTTACTTATATTTATGGTCCAATGGGCTTGATTGATGGACAAGGTTTTTCTTCCTTAGCGAAGCAAGATAGTACATACTTTGCGAACACCTGACGCCACTCTGGGTTTGTCAATTCACCACCCCCTTTATAATATACGCAGCTAGCTAATAAGATTTAATTGATATATTCGTTAATACAGAACACATTTCATTAACAAATACAAAATAAAAAAAATTCATTTTTTGGTACTCATAAAGTAATAAAATATGCGACATGTGTCTTTGTCTGAAATTCAAGAAAATGACTAGAGTATTTATTTAGGAAAATAGGAAACATGAAATCTATATTTCCTTCTGATTACTGTATTTGTGGATTAATCTGGGTTAGGTGTTTGCGAAACAAAACCTAAATGTTCAACTACTTCTAAATTATGCACAGTCATATACCCTATTCGATTCATCTTCCGTTCATTGTGCATAGCTGTTGTGACATCAATTGGAGATACTGCTGTTGCTGTTCAGGTTTCCAAAAATTTCTTTGCGTGTTCTGTTTTCTGTTTTTTTCGGTGGTGGAGATTTGGGTGATGATGAAGCTGAAGATGAAGCACTTTTAGATACTAATGTAGATCTGACTGTCTGTTGTACCCCCTTTTCTGTCATTACAGCCATTGGTGTCTCGTCTATTTTAACTGCAAAAACGATTATGTATTTCAAAAGATTTCTAGATAACTCCATTCTTCAAAATAACCCCTTATTAAATGCAGCTTTTAATGAGGATTTGAACTTGGCTTCAATTTTCTTGGACAAATGCTGTCTTCACCCTCCTTAATAACTTTAACATTGACCCCATAAATTTCTCACCTTAACAAATTAAGCTCTCATTGCAAAATTCTTTTCATCCTTTAATTTATCATGACTCAATCAACAGTCGACACAATAAATTGAGAACATACGGTTCTGTCAAACCCTTTATTTCTACTCCAACTCACTATCTAAAGCATATCAAAAATCCCAAATACAAAACCGCATTGACCTCATTGAGACTTAAGTACACACATCAATTAGAAATTGAGAGAGGTCGGTACAGACAAATTCCTGTTGATAAACGCACATGCCAACAATGTGATTTATCCTTGGTTGAAGATGAATACCATTTCCTCCTGATATGTCCTAAATACAATACCCTAAGAGAAAAATATATCACTTCTACCATTTCACATTTAAATATTCCTTTGTCATTCCATGTTCTTTTTGATCCGCTAAATTACAGTTTGGCTCTAGCTGTTTCTTATTTATTTATTACGCACTAGAATCCAGAAATATATAGGTTTTCTGTATTATAATATTATATGTAAACGAATTACAACAGAATTATTGATACATATTGCTTATATTCCTTTGATGTTTTATTCATGTTAACTTAGCATGTGAGAGTCTTTTCAGACTTAAAATAAGATAGTATTAATTTGCTTGATATAGTCCGTTTAGGCTGTTGCATAAATTTATATATATTTTGTTTCTTAAACTTGTCACCACACATGGTGTGTATTTGTTGATGCATTATTTTGTTATGATGTTGCTTTTTTCAAACTTGTTTATGTATACACTATATTTTTTTGTATAACTATTAATTGATGTCAGTATGTCATATTTGTATCACTTATTATTATGTATTATCGTGTATCATGATGTATGCTGGCCAAAAAGGGCGAACAATACAATAAATATCTGTATCTGTATCTAAAACATCGACCATTGTTTCGTACTCTGCTCTTTCCCTCCCCCTCCCTTCCTTTTGAATTTCTCCAACCTGGGGGACACAATTTAAGACAGCAGCAGAAGACACAATTGAAATGAAAAGTAGGTATGTTTTAATTCGCTATGCACACAAATAAACTAGAAAAATAAATTAGAGAGCTCTGTCCGTCTAGCCACTACAGGCCGCTCTACCGAGTACAACTCACACAAAGGCAAAGCCTCAATGGCAATAAACCAGCAAGCATCAACGCTTTCAATTCCTAAGCAGCGTTCTTTCCTCTTGTACTATCCGCTAAAAACTAACCTGTCTCACGACGGTCTAAACCCAGCTCACGTTCCCTGTTGGTGGGTGAACAATCCAACGCTTGGCGAATTAAAAAGCAACATCGCTAAAAACGCTTGGCTACCACAAGCCAGTTATCCCTGTGGTAACTTTTCTGACTCTTTCCCTTCGTCACAAAAGGATCGATAGGCCTTGCTTTCACTCGGACCCCTCCTACTGAAAAGCATCCAGCTTTTGCCCTTTCGCTCTACCAGGGGTTTCTCTCCCTTTTGAAGCTGGACTGGATTTAAAAAGAATTCATAACTGACTTTCCCGCCCTAGCGAGGAACCGGTTCCTACAAAACACCCCGCCAGGCTAAACCGCCCCGAATGCGGCCGCTCGTGGTCCTCATCGAGTGAGTTGAACAAACAAAACAACGCAATTTTTTTAGAAATATTGTTTATATGGTGTTAATGAAAATGTAATATTAGATTCGCGTAACACCAGACATAAAATATTGACACGAAGAATGAGTTCAAATGTCGTGTTATGTGTTGGTGTTAACACTAACACGGAACACTAACACAAGATTTGACCTCGCCCCCTGTCGCATCTAGTCAGACTACGAAGAACTCAAGTATTTCCAAGAAACCAAACGTTGAACCAAATTATGAGTCTAAATCAGCGTCTAAATAATGCCACCCAAACGATTTGATTAAAAGGGGGATGGTGTGGTGTGCATGGAATGCACATATCTAGACGAAACGTCCTGAATATGGATGAATCAACTAATCGTCATCTCGAACGCGGTCTGTATTTGCATTCAGTTGTAAGTTTTCATGAGTTAACCTCGTGTTTTTTTCCGGAAGGCATACGACTATCCGTGGTGCTAATTTAGCCTCGCGCCTAGAACCTCGAAGCAACACAGAACTGTGAACATGCGAAGACTTTATCGAATCAAGGTGATATTTACCAGCTTGACCTTTCTTCTGATTTTGTATACTTTCATTCAACAGAATGGGACTAGCAGCAAGAAAAAGGTGAGACCTGTTGTCACCTATTTTTTTTTGGGAGGGCGGGGGCGGTATGGGGGGGGGGTTTGTGGGCAGGCTATCTTTCAGATTAATCACTTAATTAAAGCTGATTAGTTGACAAACAGTTTAATTTCACCAAACTTACTATTGTATTGTTAAGTTCAAGTCAATTATATTCTGAAGTGGGCCACCTTTGCAGGATGACTTGGAAGCTCCAAGCCTGAAGGTCCAGGGTTCGTTCTAGGTTTAGGTCAATTAAGATATATACCTGCAGGTTTTTAAACATCAACCCCCAACCTGATGCAGGGGAGTTGCTGTGGCTCAGTGAGTTAGATGCTTGCTGGCTAACCTAAAGGTCTGCGGTTTAATCTCAGCATAGGTCGAGATTATCCCTTCAGATTTTCAACTCGGTTTCTCGGCAGTGAAGCAGGTCAAATGGGCAACATGGAAAAAATCGTTCAGTCGTTTGGAGGAGAAAATAAACTGAGGCCCTGGCAAATGCCGCTGTCCTGGCAAAATTTCACTCATTGCACACTACACAGTATTACCCATCTTTGATAGCCCATTAGGTGCAGAAAAGTAGGATGTAAAACTTCATTCATTTCATTTCATTTGTCTTTTTTGGGAATACTAAATTGAGACCCTGTGTTATACATAAGGTTATATGTGTATGGTAAAGGTCTCTTGTCAGTTGAAATGAAAAAGATGTTGGTATCCTTGTAAAATTTCTTTTGTTGTGCATAAGCGAGTCTTCTTTAGTCCAGTCAAGTGCAAAAAAGTGTATTCAAAAAATTGCAAGCTACCAACTGATTAATATTTGATTAAACTGAATCATTATTGAAAATATTCAGTTTATTTTTAAATTTATAAATAATTGATCAAGTAAACAGTGCCTCACTATTAGATATCTTTTATGTGTTCAGCTAGTAGCACATCAAGCCATAGGAATTTTTTATTTTAAGTGTTTTTGAGAATGATTTCCCATCACCAATGGATATCCATTTTTGTCTATGTTATAAAGTTATATTTTTGTTTCAGTTACCAAGGATAATGCAAGTAGGTGTATGATATTATATGTAATTTTAAAACTAAAGTATATATGGTGTATTAATTGGTTTTTGTTGCAAAATTTAAGATTTGTGACTGAAATGTGGTGCAGCCTTAAAAAATTATGAAATATTGTTTTTACTTTTTTAATTCAAAGATAATATTTCTTCGGCGCTTCATAAGTTCCCCCTGTGGTGTTAAATTTGAAAAACTGTAGAGGGTCAAAAAGGGGTACAAACAAACCCTGCCTCACTAAATTCCTACTGTTAGAACAGACAGGCAGTGAAGAGCAGTATATGACCTTTCATATAGAAAGCATTTAGGCAGGCATAAAAAAAACATTCAATTTTCACGTTTTTTATGCCTAAAAACATCCAATATGAAAGGTCCCACATCTAATTCCACCATAATACCGTATCTACTATCATACACAAAGTCCCCCACAATAAGATTGGTTTATTTAATCGCCTA